TAGAGAGTTCAAAGCCAGCCTCAGCAACTTAGTGAGGATGTAAGCAACTCAGTGAGATACTATCTCTATATAAAAGAGCTGGGGGTGTAGCTCAATGGTTGAGTGCCCCTGAGTTCAATTCCCAGTTCCAAGAAAAAGAAAACTAACATTTTGAATACTCTTCTGATTTAAAAACCAAACAAAAGGATATTTTCTCATTTCCAGTCTGTCTACCCCACTTACACTACCCGCTCTCTTGRTAACCCCTGTAATTAGTTTCTTGTCTGTCATTCCAGGGTATCCAAACAAATGCAAGCTCATAAAAATATATATTCTCATCTCCCCTGATTTTTGTTTGAAAAACAATACCGTAATACTGTTCTCCACCTTTTATAACAAGGTATCTTAAATGATCTCTAGATCAATACATGGAGTACTTATTCTTTTTTCCTTGTAGCTTCAGAGTACTCCCTCTTGTTCCTATGCTAAAATTTGTTTAATTTTCCCGTATTTAATGTATATTTGGTTTGCTTTTAGTATTTGTTATTATGTTTCAGTGCATAATCCAGTGTCAGTCATATTGCTTAAGTACATCTGGGTTGTTGAGTCAAAGGCTCTATGTTCTTTGAAATTTTGATAGAATTGGTTGCCTTTCAGTTTTTTTGATTGATGATTTTTAAGTGTCAAAAGAGCAACTCAGCTGGGCATAATGGCGCACAGGGCTCCAGAGGGTGGGGCAGGAGGCTCTCAAGCTCAAAGCCAGCMTCAGCAATTTAGCAAGACCCTGTCTCAAAATAAGAACTTAAAAGGTCTGGGAAGCACCCCTTAGTTCAATCCTGGGTACCAAACAAAAAAAGCCACTTAGACTCAACCTCTTGGTTTTCCCCAAGCCAAAGGAAGCTGTACTCCTGATCTCTGCCAACGGCCTGTGGCACTGTGGCACTAATTTAACAATCCCTGCCTCCCTGTGAGTGTATTCCTATGTGTGCTGTTTCTCCAGTGAGAGTAAAAGGGCTCAGGTCTTTATTTCATATCCTCAGAATTTGCTGAGGTACCTGTAGATACATTTGATTGGTCAGATCTTCATGTCTTTTGTACAAGTAATCAACACTGTGGAAACGAAAATAAGGTGGTTRCCTGCTAGCCCTTGATAGTGGCTGGTTGAAACAAAGCTCTTTATAAAGCAGATGTCCTGTGCAGGAAGCACAAATCTAATTTAAGAATATTTATTGAGCATTTGAATGTATAAAACATGGTGTGAGAGGCTTAGGAGGAAATAGGACATAGTGCTGGCCCTCAATAACCTTTCTCCCAAGTAGGGAGGATGAGAGGAGCCTGGAGACTTGGCTAGTTTGGCCTGAACCGTGTTCTACATGTCTTTCAGGAAGACTTTTCTAATTGGTGTATTACATTATATATAGAAAACTGCACAGGTCTTAAAATAGCTAGAAGGATCACAAAATGTGTTTCAACATTTTTAGATAGTTATCAAATTTGAAAAAATCAGGTCTTATGATAGATTCCCCTTCCTCATATGCTTTCTTCCTGTTYCCCGAATGCATTTACATTCAAAATCCACTGTCCTCAATATTAAGCATAAGGCCTAGGCATCTGGGTAGAAGGTCGGTTTGGCGGGGAGGAAGGGACAACAGGATTGAAAAGAGCAAAAATAAGTAAGAGAAATTACTGAATAATTGCTTAAGTACATCWGGGGTTGTTGAGTCAAAGGCCTTATGTTCTTTGAAATTTCGATAGAAGTGGTAATAGTATCAATTCTGCCAGACTAGCTCACCTGTAGATATTTCCTTTTATTTATTTATTTTATTTATTTATTTTTGTTGTTGTTTTGGTACTGGGGATTGAACCCAGGGGTTCTTAACCACCAAAGCCACATCCCCAGCCCTTTTTAATATTTTATTTAGWGACAGGTTCTCACTGAGTTGCTTATGGCCTCAGCCATGCTGTCTTTGAACTCTTAATCCTCCTGTCTCAGCCTCCCGAGCCTCTGGGATTACAGGAATGCGCCACCACACCTGGCTCCTTTTTGTTTTGTTTCATTTAAGAAATTGAAACATTGATAGTTTTTTAAAAAATCATTTTGCATTTTAATCTCTTTGAGGACTTTTATTTTTCTGTTTCTTTAGATAACATTGTATGTGTTTTAAAACCAAAAGCATTAGTTAATGTTTTTAAAATATAAAACATCTGACGAATCTATAGCTTGAGAAGTCTTTCAAAGCCATGCTTGACAACCAAACCCAATTCTAAAAATGTCTGTCTCATGCTACCACAATATATTTTAAAACTGGAGTCCTCTGCCTTCCCAAGTTTTATCTCCGCTGCACCTGTGCTCAGAAATCCTCCTGCCTACACACRGGAACTATTGTTTAAAGATTTTGCTGTTGATTCATCATGCAGCCTCTCCAGGAATTATTTACACTTTAAAAATTCATTTTTTTAAAATGCATTTGGTTAAAAAGGAAACCAAAACCTCCCAAAATAAGCAAACAAAATCCTTGTACAATGGCATGTAAGGAATTACATTTTTTCTCATCTCTCAGATGTAGTCCCTCTCATCTGAAACAACCACTATTACCAAGGTTGTTTTGTTTTGTTTTGTTTTTGGTATCAGGTACTGAACCCAGGGGCACTTTACCCCCAGGCCACATCCCCAGCCCTTTTTATGTTTTATTTTGAGACAGCCTCTCCTAGATTGCTTAGGGCCTCACTAAGTTGCTGAGGGTGATTTGAACTCACGATCCTGCAGCCKCAGCCTCCCAAGCTGCTGGGATTACAGGCATATGCCACTGCCCCTGGCTGACTATTACTAATTTTATGAATCCTTTCAAAGATATTTTCTGACTACACTCATGCCTGTGTGATGTACGTACTCACGCACACATACCCGGTCTCAGGCTCCTCCATTCTACACATAGCACAGCACGTTGTGCTTCTCCGCACGTTTTCGTTTTACTTAACAAAAATAAGATTTCTTGGCATCAGTATAGACTCAATCTTATTTTTTTGGCTGCATACTATTATATGAACATTTCATAATTAAACCAGTCTCTTCCTGGTGAATATATAGGTTTGCAATATTTCAACTACAGACAGCACTTCTACAAACAACCCTTTATACCTTCCTTTGTGTGTGTAGGTGCACATATTTTTAAAGCCTCAATTCCTAGAATTAAACTATGGAGTTAGAAAGGTACGTGCACTCTTCATCCAGTGGCCTTGGAGAGTTTGACAGTGTGCACCCTCTGGTATATGTGAGTGCAATTTCCCAATGCCTTTGCCAACCTTTTGAATGGTCAGGTTTTGGTCTTTGCCAGGCTGATGGGAAATGGCATTGTAGTGTGGATTCCCCTGGCCTTTTTTGTTATAATCCTGGTCCAAACACGAGCTCAGGCCTGCCAGGCAGGCAGGTTGGGACCCCACTTGTTATAGTCACTGCCGGTCCATACTGCTTTTCTGTTTTTCTCTTTTCCTCAGGGCAAAATGAGACAGTTTTGTTAAAAAGAAAGAAAAAGAAAAGAAATTCTCATGGGGAAACTTAAGATAACTGTATTCTACTTGTATTGTATCAGTTTACTCCCTTCCCCTGACCAACTTCTCTTTTCTTGTCCTAGTCCGCCACTCTGTCTTTTTAAATATTCTTTATCTCTTCTCACCACTGCCTTTCAGGACAAGGAGCCCCCCTTCCCATCAGGAATTGAACCYAGAGGCACTTGACCTCTGAGCCACATCCCCAGACCTTTTTATTTTTTATTATAAAACAGGGTCTCACTAAGTTGCTTAGGGCCTCTCTGAGTTGCTGAGGCTGGCTTTGAACCTGTGCTCCTCCTGCCTCAGCCTCCTGAGCCACTGGGATTACAGTTGTGTACCATGCCACCCAGCCAGACAGGTTCTTCTTCTTCTTCTTCTTYTTTTTTTTTTTTAAAAAAAGTTATCCAAGAATTTATTTTCTTGGTTGCTTATTTATTTATTTTTATTTTACCTGAAGATTTTTCCTCTTTGCCTGTGATACCTTGACACACAATAGAAAATCACTTTCTTTTAAAAAAAATTTTTACACATATATACGTATTTGTAAGATACACATCATACAATTTATCCACTTCACTTAGCCATTTTTTATTCTTTTTAGATACATATAACAATAGAGTGTATTTTAACATATCATACATACATGGAGTATAGATTATTCTRATTAGGATCCCATTCTTGTGGTTGTCCATGATGTGGGGTTTCACTGGTTGTGTATTCATATATGAGCACAGGAACATTCTGTCCCATTCATTCTACTGTCTTTCCCATTCCCATCTCCTCTCCCTTCCCTTCATTCCCCTTTGTCTAACCCAGTGAATTTCTATTCTTCCCTCCCCCTTGTTGTGAGTCAGCAACTGCATATCAGAGCTAACATTCTGCCTTTGGTTTTTATGATCGGCTTATTTCACTTAGTACAATAATCTCCAGATTCATCCATTTACTGGCAAATACCATAGTTTCATTCTTCTTTGTGGCTGAGTAATATTCTATTGTGTGTATGTACCACATTCTCTTTAACCATTCATCTATTGAAGGGCACCTAGATTGATTCCATACTTAGCTATTGTGAATTAAGCTGCTGCAAACATGGATGTGGCTTCATCGCTGTAGTTGCTGATTTTCAGTCCTTTGGGTATATACTAAAGAGTGGGATATTAGTTAGCCATTTTAAAGTATACAATTCAGTATCATTAAGCACATTGACATTTCATTTTTTTAAATATTTTTTAGTTGTCTATAGACATTTATTTTATTTGCTTATTTGTATGTGGTGCTGAGGATCGAACCTAGTACCTCATACATGCTAGGCAAGCACTCTGCCACTGAGCTACAACCCCAGCCCCAAGCACATTGACATTTCAATAATTATCTTTTCAATGAGCATCTGAGTAGTGATATTGGTTATTTGTCCTGAAAAGTCACAAGAGCCAAATGGTCATTTTAATTCACTTTGCCCTTCTCTCTTCCAGACGAAGTGATACGGAAGCGTCTCCTCATTGATGGAGATGGTGCTGGAGATGATCGAAGAATTAATTTGCTAGTGAAAAGTTTCATAAAGTGGTGCAACTCTGGATCCCAGGAGGAAGGGTATGCCAGTGTACTGATGTCATTTTAATAAGGTCCTGTTAGTGTTTTAAGTTTTCACTCACCGAATTGTCCACTTAAATCACTTCTTGTCTCATCAAAAGATTTTTTTTTTTCTTCTCTTCGGAGGCCTTATAAAACAAACATGTAGAAAGCAGGTAAAAGAAGAAATGAAGACTAAATTCAGGCTCTTTAACATGGTCACTTTTAGCAGATAAGTATTTAACAGGACAAGATAATCTAAATGAAACTTCTTTCCTTTGTTAATAAAGTTCCTGCAAGATATCTAGGTTTTTAACAAAATTCTTCCTCATTTGGATTCACTTTCCACAGAATAAGTGTAATATACATATAGAACTATGAGAATAGAATTGTGAAAATAAGCAGACTTCTTAATCAAAATAATTTTTAAAAATGATTTAAACAATTCAGACAGATTTGCTTAAATTAAAGCCTACACCGATAAAAACAATAGGCCCGTCTTACGTTTGTAACCATAGCTGTTTATAAAGACAGATATACCACATTTGGAAAAAGAAAACATAAGGGATGGATATTCTAGATTTTTTTTAAAGAAAACATTTGTCTCAGAATGTGATATAACTTAATTAGCAAAGCTTTGCCTGCATTAAAGTAGTTTAATTTTAGCAATCCACAAACATCTCTTTCCTCTTTTTTCCATCAGATATAGCCAGTACCAACGTATGCTGAGTACACTATCTCAATGTGAATTTTCAATGGGCAAAACTTTGCTGGTGTATGACATGAATCTCAGAGAAATGGAAAATTATGAAAAAATTTACAAAGAAATAGGTAAAAATAATAATGTTTCTGTCTATATTTTTATTCTTTATGATCTAAAGGAAAAATACCTATTAACAATATTCTTGGGTTAGTGATAAAAGTTACTTACAATATTAATAGAATGCAGTAAGTGGTATCTGCAAAAGTTTATAGTGTGGTATGATGATTGAGGTTACAGCTACTTTTTWAATACCAGCATCTATTTAGTTAACAATAGGACTTCAATTTAAAAACATGTTTTAAAATTGAAAATGGATGGAGATTATATGTGTTGTTATTAACTATCTTTTAAAAAATACCCTTTTATATAGAATGTAGTATTGCTGGAGCTCATGAAAAAATTGCTGAGTGCAAAAAGCAGATTCTTCAAGCAAAACAAATACAAAAAAATCGCCAAGAAGATGATTTTGAGGGATTTCATGTGCAAATACTTTACTACTGACTGGTATTTTCATGCAGTTTTTAATGTGAGGTAAAATCAGCAGCCAGAATTGATTTAATTGACAAAGAGAATCAGGATGGGACTGGGGCTGGGGCTCAGTGGTAGAGTGCTTGCATAGCATGCATGAGGCACTGGGTTCGATCCTCAGCACCACATTGAAATAAAATAAAGATATTGTGTCCACCTAAAACTAAAAAATAAATTAAAAAAAAAGAATTAGGAGAAACATTTAATTCTTAAAACCATAAATAGAAAATAGAAAAAAAAAGGAATGATCTGCTGAAAAAAAGTTTTTGCTGAGATGTATTGATTATCCAGGTATTTCTTCTGTCTTCAGACAATTTTGCYTGAATATTTTGTTTAATCAGCAAAAGTGATTTATGTAAGTACACTAGTTATAGGGTCAATTTGTTTGATGAGAGAGAGAGAATTTAAACACAGTTGGTTTTCATTAAGTATAAAGGAAGCAGATATATTCAGGCTGCCTAACTATATAACAAGAAAAAGTTAAAGTTTAGTTTTATTCTAATCTTTCTTTTTAACTAGAGTATACCCTTATCTAGTTCATAAACTTTCTTTTTTTTTTTTTTAAAGAGAGAGTGAGAGAGGGGAGAGAGAGAGAGAGAGAGAGAATTTTTAATATTTATTTTTTAGTTCTCGGCGGACACAACATCTTTGTTGGTATGTGGTGCTGAGGATCGAACCCGGGC